TAAGTAATATCGGATTTTTGTGAGGAAATATAAAAAGTTGAAGCACAGAGTCTCGTAAGTTAAATGGAAAAATAATCTCGGAGAGATAAAGTCTGATCCTCCCAAACTTTCACGTGTATCGATTTACTTAACGCGATCAGCTGGAATTTCTCCCCCCTGAATAGACGCCTTGCTTGTTCGATTAGACGAGAATCTACCCGCGTCCTTGAGCCTCGAGGGAATCCCGGAGGATGATTCGGTTTCGTACGGCGTCCCCGACTGGATCGACGCCCTGTCCGCGGGCCAGGACGAGGGGAATTGCTCGGATCGTTCGGTCAAGGAGTTTCCGGAGATATTCTCGTACGCGCAGCGTCGCCAGGGCGTGGTGGTGATCCACGTGCTCTTCGGCTTCTACTGCTTCATCCTGACGGCGTTCGTCTGCAACGACTACCTGCTGCCGGCGCTCGACATCATTTGCACGCGGCTCAACATCAGCACCGACGTCGCCGGGGCGACCTTCCTCGCCACCGCGAGCTGCTTCCCCGAGCTGTTTGTCAACGTCATCGGCACGTTTCTTACAGAGTCGGACCTCGGTGTCGGCACCGTGATGGGCGGCGCGGTCTTCAACACCTTCGCGACACCGGCATGCGGCGCGTTATCGGCGTTGCACGTGAGTAAATTGCTCGGGCACATAAGTACTCGTACGGGGGATTAGCACGGAGCGACGATGATGAAAACCTCGGGTGGAAATCTCGCCTTTGATGTTACGCCACGCGCCTAGACAACCGAGACAAGTGTTCTGTTTGCGATTAGCAACACTTGTCTCGAGGCGGAACGGTGCAGTGTATTCAGGTATCGCAGGAAGGAAAGCGAGGAGAGGAAAGGGGATAACTTGAAGAGGGAGATCCGCTTAGCTTTTCTGCGGAGAAAGGTCTAACAATGAGAAGAAAGAATTTGCGTGTCCTTTTATTTATCGAACGTGCGAATGTCGTTGCAGCTGGAGAAGCTGGCAAGTTCTGGCCTTTCTGGCCTTGACAATTAATATATGTGTAGTACATTCCGCATAGATTGATTTAAATGTATATACGTATAGTTTAAAACAACCTATACGCGGAATTGTTAGAATATCGCGTTTAAGAAAAGATTTGCAGGCTAGAGAGAGACAGAGAGAGAGAGAGAAGTTTTCGCGGGCTAATTCCCGGTGTGAATGCTGTCTGCGAAATTCACACAGCTACTCCGCAACATTATTTATGTTATTTATCGATATGTAACACGTGTTATCGACATATACGCTACTTATCTCGCTGATTATCCATAATAATGACCTCGATTATTTAACGATTATTGTCCTTGCGACGTAATGTCTGCTATCGTCTCGGCTGATACGCATAACACGATATGACATTGCCTGAAATTTTTTCATTTGTGCTATTGACTTTTACTTATCATAGATCATAGGTCGTTGATCATAGATCACAGATCACCTTACCTTATCCGCCGGTTTCTTAATTAAGATATTTTTATTGCGACCGTTACGTGCTTGGGTCTTGAAGAAACGAATATTAATTAAAAAAGAAACGTGTAACTGGTCTGCAGAAAAAATATTAAATTACACCAAGTAATTTATAACGCGTTGAATTGAAAGCCGAGTTTGTTTTGTTTTTAACTTTCCTCGATATAATTAGAACTATCTAATCGTGATTATCTATTGGAATTTGATAATTCTGAAATATAAACCTGATTAGAATTAGATTAGGTTTTTTTCCTTCTTTCATTATGAAGTACCGTCACTCAATATGAAGCATAGCTGCTACGGGAAAAGGAAGAAGGGGACGGTATTAAACGGATTGCGCAGTACCAGAAAATGATGCATGAATATCCGCAACTTTAAACAACGTCTTACGTGCATTATCGTCTCCCATTTGCTTGTGATTACTTTAATAACTGCGGCTCGTTGTGTTCGCGCAGCTCCAGTTCGAGATAATTCAAACTGTCGCCGGATTCTCCGTAGCCGCGAATAAAAATATGTTCTCGCGAGTTCGTGTTCCTGAAGCGATTGCACGTTCCTCTGTTATTGCGCGATGGTGTTTCTCGGAATCTGCTTCTCATTAATCTAGACGTAGAAATCGGGGAGGCCGTGAATTCGCGAAAGAAGATCAGTTGTATCACCAGTTATAGACAAACGTCACTTTAAGTAATAGGCAAGGTATTCGTATTTACAAGAATTCAAACGTTTATCTCGAGGAAAAAGTAATCGGTAGATAAAATGTAGCGAAAGTTTGATTGGTCAACTCATGGTGATTGAAGCCAGCCAGACACCCTCCCCCTTTAATCACGAAGATTAAACGGGGATTATCTCTTCGATCCTAAACGATTAGCTTCGTTCACTTGTTTATCTAACCGATTTTCACCCGTTGGCATGTACTAATAATAAGATAACAATTTTATGGGGAAATATAATTGCGTCATTACAGTTCTCGCAGACGACACAATAGTCTTCATCGTACTGTTGTTACGTTACGTTCTCACTTGATACCATGATAGTGTATCGCTCCATTCTCTCAGCGCTGTTTACTGTACTATTAAGATTATTTTTACAGTCTATTTATTTCCGTGAGAAGTGCATATCTCAAAGACTCGGAAATTCTTATCCGCGAATATGAATTGCCTAAGCTTTACCTTATTATCTGTTAACTATTCAAATGGTAGTTTTCGAAAGATCGCAACATCTACGCGTAATAAATTTTTATAACTTCGACAGATTGAGCAAGTCATTACGAGCAGGTTTTTTTTCTTAATTTTACAAATACACTTTGGGATAAAAATAATTTAGTATTTTATAAATCTCTCTCTCTCTCTCTCTCTCTCTCTCTCTCTCTCTTCTTCTTCTTCTTCTTCTTCTTCTTCTTCACCGTTAAATATTCATAACGTAACGGTCTAGACAATTAATTAAATTCAATAAAACAAATGTCGAAAGCAAGTGCTTATTCAAGTGTTAAATCGCAGGCTATCAGATAATAAAAATGCAGTATGCATAAAACTATGCTATGTAAGTCATAAATTAATCTAGCTCATGCTCGTATGAGCAATGCTTTACATTAGCAGTATTTTTCCTCGGTGCCATATTCGATAAATATACATTTCATTTTCGATCGACCACTTTACCTTTGAGACCTCCGCGATAAATATGCAACAACGCAAGTGTCTAGCGTATATGTGTGCGTGCGCGTGTGTGCAATACGTGTTTTTATCCGTTTTACGATACGATATTTACACGCAAAACACTCGTTTACTTAATTAAAATGATTTTGCATGTTCTCCTACAGGCAATACCGTTAGAATGGCGAATATTAACTCGGGACTGCGTGATTTACGTGATATCGGTCGTCGTTTTGGTGATCGTAATGTGGGACGGCATAATCAAATTGTACGAAGCGATCATCCTCATGGCACTGTTCGTCAGTTATTTGACAATACTATTTTCCAGCAAGTGTATTGTGCGTTGGCACAACAAGCTCGCGCACACTTGCAAAGCTCGCAGTACCGACATTACCGAGGACGAAAGTAAGTGCCATTACACTGAACTCGGCGATATCTCTCTTGCACAGTTTTCATAATAACGTCACAATAGTCTCTTTATCGAAATTCTCTGCCCGCTTTTCACGTCGAATGTCATTTCAATTTATTAAGAAAAATATTTTATTTTCTCTCTCTCTCTCTCTCTCTTTTTCTCACAACAAAAATGTATTTTAACAAATAATAGAATGTAAAATATTTAATGCGTCCTTGTTTCCGTTACAATAGATACACGTAGGGTGTATCCCGTTTAACTTTTCCTAGAATTACTCGGAAGAACAAAGTGTTTCAGACAAAAGTGGCCTGAAGGGAAATAACGATAAGATTAACTTTCGAGAAAAATCAATTTTTTTTAGCTTACTTGAAGGTCGCTATTTTTTTTTAAATTCGAGACTTTTTACATGTGCTGTAGACATTTTTTAAATAAAATATTTCTATCGATATAATCTTACACAGTGAATTAATTAGAGTTTACGCGACTATTTCAACTTCATAAAAATAGCTAACGATATGCGAACAGATATCGATTCATCTCGAGTAACTCGCACACTCCCGCAATATCTTTTATCTTGACACTTGCAATACCTGTCGACTGATGTTGGCATAACTCGCAATCAGTATAATCGTGCACATGTTCGTCGAAAATTCTAAGAGAGGTACGCACGGACCGTCTGTGTATAAATTTTGCATTCTGTTATTCGACAGCTCCCAAATGCAATGGGGAATCAATGCCTGATGGACTGTACAGGCCGTACTTCCACGGCGAGCTCGTAGCCGAGTACAGAAAAAGCATCGCGAACCGAAAGCCGCCCACTAATGGTAGTATAGAGGCGCAGAATCGTGTACAACAGATAGAGGAGTACGTGGAACCAGGTACAACATACGAGCGTAATCTCCGAGCTACACGCAATACGAATAATCAGATTTATACCCGTTTCTACCGACGCAGTTTAACTTTAATCTCGGTTCAACTTACTTTGTATGTTTTTCCATAGTTTTACGAATTGGAAGAAGACAAGAAGTAATTTAAGCCGAGATTAAAGTCAATCTGCATCGGCGGAAACGGGCATTAGTCGGACATTACGTTACGTTACGTGATCGCCAAACTGCTTGTCAAATCGCCATGTGCTGTGAACGCTCGTTTTTAGATACCCCATTTGTATGGCCGCCCGGCGGTTGCCTAGCCGATCTCTGGTTCTGCTTCGTTTGGCCGCTGAAACTGATACTGTACGTCACGATACCGGACAGCAGGTACAAACGGTGGAAAAACTGGTACCTGGTAACGTTTGTCATGTGCGTCATATGGATCGCGATATCCTCCTACCTGACGTCGTGGATGACGACCGTCATTGGTGACACCATTGGGATCCCGGATTCTGTTATGGGTATCACGTTCCAAGCCGCTGGCGGTAATATGCCAGAACTGGTCTCGATCGTGATACTTTCCAGACAAGGCAAGTCCGCGTCGAGATGAAAGCAATGATAGAAAAAAGTCCCTCGAAATCTCCGAGAGCGGCGCTTAGCTCGATTCTGTTTCCCCGCAGGTAACGGAGACATGGCCATGAGCAACACATTAGGCGCGAACACGCTCGATATTCTGCTATGCCTCGGTCTACCGTGGATGATCAAGATCCTCATAGACCAGAAAGACATCACGATTGTCTCGGGTGCCCTGCGCTACAGTGTGCTCTCGATCATCGCGTGCGTGATCGCCTTTTATGCGGTCACCGCGCTCTGCAAGTACCGCTTGACCAAGAAAGTGGGTGTCATTTGCCTGATATTATACGCGATATTCTTGGTTTTCGCGTTGCTATTCGAACTGAACGTTTTCTTCCCGGTGAACTTACCTATGTGTCCTCCTTAAACTCGCCGCGGTTTCCGCCCTGTAAATAATAGTCGATTTTTTCAACACGGGGAAGATGAGATTAAGCGAGAGCTGCTTTCGTCAGCTTTCAAGGAAGCCCTCGCGAAAAAGGAACGGAGCGATTTACTAGAAAATTACTGCACTGACAAAAAGAATTGCCGATGTTACTAAAGATTTCGTTTAGTTAACAGTAATATTTCTTCAATTCAAGTATATGTGTTTTTCAATTAAACATACATAATTTATTCAAATATATGTATTTTTAATTAACAAATGTTTACGCGAATTATCAAACATTTGTTTGACAGCCCGTGACTGCAGCATATAGTTGAATCGAGAAATATTTAGATTTTTTTCCCTCAGTGTGTACATCAGTAATGGAATCGTTCGAAATTACTGATGTGGAGTAACTGCCTAGTAATTATTCCGTTGCTTTTCCGTAAGGGTGTGCTCGGGAGACCAACGCAATAATAGAAGTTCCTACAGACATCAGATCGGCACGTGCCCATTGTTGTTATTCGCAATCATTGTCCGCTTTTTGCGGAGTTGCGAAGTGCTTATCATCCAAATATATATTTACAATATATATATGTACCCGTTTTGATTTTTACAATTTATTTATATTTTATTTCTATTCGAGAGAAAAAGAAACTTTTCGATATCAAACTATCGATCAAGATGCCGTTTTGTATTACAAGAAAGAAAGTTTGTAATAAAGCTGTTTTATTAGAGATAAGAAAAGGAAAGATGTTCAACAATTTTACTGTGTCTTCGTCTTGCATTTTATAAATAATGTAGCTCTACATGCGGAATTGTGCGTTTAACGTTGCAAATTGATCGACTGTTGTTGTTGTTAGGTGCGATATTTCTGGCGTACACTCGTGCAATATCTGTCGGCTTCTAAGAAGGAAAAATCTGCAAAGTGTTGCAATATTTCGGTTGAGAGAGGAAGTTTTTACAGCTTTTATTATAAAAATTATTATATGTATATATAATTCATACACTAGATGTTATATATAATGCTGTAAATCATGAAAAGACGCAAAAGTATACTTGAAGTGCCTATTTTTGAGATGGGCCAATCAATCGCGATCTAACGAGCGTCCGGTATCTTCAATTATTATTGCTTGAAAGTGAATCTGATTAATTTGTACGTACAATTGTTATTTGAAAAGAAAATTGCCGTACGGAAAGGTTGCAAACGAGACGTGGCTCCTCGGTAGTCATAGAGATCGCCCATCCCAAACTTAATTACAACTACGGTACAAATCGGCCTGTAACGGCCGTTTTATTTTACAAGCGGACGGCATGACATTTCCTCTTTGATGTCGACTCTTTCCGCGTTTCACGAGCACGAGATACGATTTCGGGCCATCTCCTTCCTCCCCCTTTTCACTTAAAGTGCACTCAAGTCGACAATGACATGCTCGGTGACAATAGATACACGCCAGTTGTCACAACAATGGTCCCTGGGATCCCGAAGACGCGCTCAGCGACAATAGCGAGATGCCCATCGCAGCATTGGTCCCCTTGGTCACCCAGGATGTCGCTAGTGACCACGATGGATATGCCCAATGACCATTAGGATATCCTCTTGGCAACGGGCATCAGCCCGGGATGCTCCTTGGGTAGGCATTAAGCGTGCCGGCCGCTTCGTGCTCTTGAAACGCGGAAACGGTCGGGCGATAAAATATCATGACGACTTTATTAGTTTCATTCGGTACATTAGAAGGACTCTGCGCGTCGGAAATGTTTATTTATTTATTTATTTATTTACTCCTGTCGATTCGGATATTGCTTCTCTATGGCGTCGCCGTACTCTCTCTTTCCCTATCGTACTAATAAAGATACGACAGACTTTGCCTATGCGGCGGCGGTCAGCGAAGATCTACACGCGCCTATTTACGGCAGGTAAATAGGCGGCAAGTAAGTAGGCGTTGGAGAGAGCGCGATAGGCCGCGGTGACATTGCGCGCGGTTTCTTCTATTATCGAATAAATCGCATTGCGGTAAAAGTTAAGAGTGCGTAAAAATCGATATTCTCGAAAGAATCATAAGAAACACACGGTTCGTTCATATTACGCTCTTGTATCGATCAACACGGCAGCGCTGTGTAACCGTCAGCCCGTTCTTTCGCGGATAATACTAATTAAATCAGTAATTTAATTCGTAAAAATTGAATCGATAAGATATTGATCTAATCGGTACAAGTTTATCCTCGTCGAGGATTGGCATGATGAGAAAGAGGTTTTCGTTTATCGTACGAAGCGAACAATTGAAACTGGTCTTTGGCAGTATCGCCCTCGATCTTGAAATTTGTCTTATCTGGATTATCATGGAGCCTTCTTTGTCTTTGTCACGATCTTTGTCCGTCCGAGATTTTAATATCCGGACGTCCCCCGTCGCAACGTTAAGCTTTGTTAAGGTGCACGTGAAATTAATGTATCAGAAGGCGGGGATAAAAGTACGAATATAAGAAATGCGCGAAAGTCAAAGCGCAGGCTCAGTTTGTATTAAATTATCGTCAAAATAACTGAGCGCGTGTATAAATCTGTCAAATAATTACGTCAATGCCTCTGCTTGATTTTAAACGAACTCACGCGCTGTATGCAAGATAAGCCGTGATAATGGAACAATACAAAGTGATAATTGCAATCAATCGGAAACAGCTTCTGTAAGTACATCCTGCCCGATTTGTAATATTAGGACGGATTTTAGCGGCTGTAAAATGCGATACAGAGACTTGCCCTGCAAAAAGCTGATGGCATATTAAAATCATATTTACACGCTTGAGTGAACCTCGGATCTCATTTGTGTGTGTGTGTGTTCGCGCTATGTTACTTTGAAGCCGGCGCGAGAGATTGCGAGAGATTCGCGATTCGCCTATAATTCGTGGATAGTGTGGGGAGAAAATCTGTCAAATTCGTCATCCGCGCAAATTCACCAAGCGGTCTTGCGGCGAAATTAAAGGATGCGAATCACCAAGCGACGACAAAGTGCGAGCGGTCCGCGCTGGCGAACAACGAATTTTCGATGAATTTATACTACGAATCGCGAATAGCGCGTACAATCTAGCGCGAGCCCTACGGTGATCCCCGACAAATCGGTCGTCGATCTCTCCGCCGTTTTCTCCGCACATTTTCAGGCACGTCTCAGATACCAATGCCGTTTTCCCCGTCAATCTTCGTCAAGCCATCCCACATGATTTCCTGTATGAGCTCGCACGTTGTTCTCCGACGTATATTACAGCGAATTCGGTTGCTCACACTAGTGCGCACTGAGCGCACACTAAAGCTTGTTTACAGTCAATTCTTATATACTTACGGTTCGTCTTAAATATCCCTTGAAATATCTCTTAGCCAGTAAACTGATGCAGCATCCATTCGGATCATCTTTTGGCTAAGTATTCTTTGAACATGTATTCAAAACAGGGTTGGGAAGTAGCTCGTTACTGTAACGAAGCTACAGTTACTTTTCGTTACTTTCTCTCCATCTGTAACTGTAACTTAGCTCAGTTACATTTTTTCGATAACTAGTAACTAATTTAATAGTTACATTAAGAGTTATTTTATATATATGTATATATTTTTTTTAACCTCCGCAGATTGCATTAGGCCTCGCGTTTGCATAAACGCCTTTATCGACACTTTACAATTCAAATGCAGATTTGATATTATTATTTTAACGCGCTACTTGTCAGAATTGGTAACTTGTAACTGTAACTAGTTACATTTTTAGCAAAAAAAAAAGACTGCAACTGCAACCAGATACTTTTCTAAAGTAACTTTCCCAACTCTGATTCGAAACAAAGTTGAATATAAAAACTGACTAGGAACAGGCGTTAGTGCGCACTTCCGTGCATCGCGAGCGGAGCACGCGTGATTTCTGTACGGGTGCACTTATTTCGCGCCTCGTTTCCTCGCGCGCATCAATCAAAACCGCTGGCAACAGTCATGCGATTGACTGATGGCAAAATAAACGACTAATGTCTTGTGTCTCAAGGCGGACGCTTTTAAACGCATTATCGCGACCAGTTTCCGTCGATGCTGAATTTTATTAACCAGTTGAACGCACACGGACACTATATCCGTGTTCCTATATGTATGTATAAGCAAACTGCTCGCAGTTTGACAACGGACTGGCAGCAGGTTTGCTCAGATATTACAGCGGATCCTGTGTTTTGCCACGGGAGAGCTTGCCAATTAATCTGACAGCAGATTGTTGACAGAAACCGAACAGAATCCGTCATTTCGCGAACTTTTCAACGAAGCACGTCATTTAAATACGAAACGGCAGACTCCGCTCGGTTTCTGTCAATCTGCCGTTATATTCGGTTATATTTCTGTTTGCTATCGGCAAGACTTGCAGCAGACACTTTCGAAATTTGCTCACAAACAAATTTGGCTATTAAAATCCGTCGTTTCGTAAACTTTTAAGTGGAGCACATCGAATGGTTACAAAACGACAAATTCTGCTCAGTTTCTACAGTCAATCTGTTATGTTCTGTTGTAATTTTGTTGACATCCTGTGGGTAAAATTTGCAATGAACACTTTCCAAACTTGTTTTCAAACAAATTTGGCCATCCGAATTGCTTATAGTTTGATCGTAGTGCTTCTTCATTTACACACTGTGGTCGTCACTATGCAACTGATCCATCAGTCAGTTTGTCGGTTTGACGGTGTGACGATTTCACGTGGCGCTTCGAGAAGCGAATCTACCAACGTACGCACAATGCATCGGTCGAAATGCAAGGAAGGAGGCATGAAAACAGTAAGGACGGCTTTATCCCTGATAGCTCTCGACGTTCCTTTCGATCGCAGGCGACGACAGTTTTACCGCTAACGACAGAATTCTTAAGGCCTGCGTCCACGATGCTAGAACTTGGTCCAAGTTTTAGTTCCGAGAAACGTGTAGTCAATCAACTTGCAGCTATTTCACAAAAGTTGGGAGTTCATTGGCCACACACTTCTCGAAACCGGAACTTGGACCGAATTCTACTCTCTAAAGGCCTGTGTCCACTTGGACCAAGTTCTAGCGACACAGGCCTTTAGAGTAGAATTTGGTCCAAGTTCTAGCATCGTCGACGCGGGCCTTTAGAGAGTAGAATTTGGTTCAAGTTCTAGTTTCGAGAAATGTGTAGCCAATCAACTTGCAGCTATTCCATAAAAGCTACAAGTTGACTGTCTACGCATTTCTCGGAACTAAAACTTGGACCAAGTTCCAACATCGTGGACACAGGAATTGTACGCGTCATGCTCGTAGTACAACACTAGGAATCACCGGTGCCTTCACGCATGAATTTAGAACGCACATACATTCTCCATGTATGTATATACAAAATGTATAAATGTGTTGATACGTGCGCAAATTCATGGGGGCCAGGCATCGGTGATTCCTAGTGTACAGGCGATTTGCAGTGCGACTAGTGAATAATTGGAAGTGTAAAAAAACAAATACAACGACGCGCAGCTCTCGATTATCGCTCGATGCCTTCCCCGCCGATGCGATCGCAGCGTAAGCACACATCGCTGCGCGATGTTAATAATTCGTTCGATACCGAATGCACAATATTTTTTTGCCTTTTTGATTTATCGCGACACCCCCTTTTATCAAGCTCCAAATATTTACACGGGCACCTACGTCGCCCGTACACGTGTCGGACGAAAGTCGTAGCTCGAAGAAACCGCGCCGGGCGCGATAAAAGTGTACTGGCAGCTTTCATTACGTTCCCTCGTTCTTTTTCCCTTTCCGCGAGCACACGCGACATTGTACATTTCCAAGAAACTTGGCGTTTATCATCGAGTTGACAAGATTAAGCGGAATGTCAATAATATCGGTACAGTATGCTAGGAAAACTCTCGCACGCGCGTAAAAATGGATCTGGCTTATTCCTCGTTGGAAATCGAATTATAAACGAATGATTACAGACGATTGAGACCCGCTTTCGCCGAGCGTCGCTTAGCTTTAATCGTAGTTTAATTCACGTTTGTCTCTTTCTAAAGTAACAGTCGGAAAGAGACAGAGAACGAATTAAGTTTAACCAAAGTTTAAGCAACGCCGGTGAAACCGGGCCCGAGACTCCACGTTGCCCGCGCGGGGTGTAAAACACAGTCTTAGAAGTCTACCAAATTCGCAAGGTGAATTTTATCGGTCGAATGTTGCGCGAATTGCCTCGTATTTAAGGACGAATTTCTGCTTATCTTTATCTACGAGATACGTGGAATATTGTAAAACCACATTTAATTGTAAATCGTCAAATAGAACAGTAAAAATTGAGATGCAATTCAAGCGTCGGGATGCAAGCTCGAGAGAGATCGGATCTTGGCGTGCGCGCGATCGCGAAGAAAAAGATTCCGTCGGGGCCTCTCGTTGAAATTAATGAAGACAAAAGTCGACTGCGGATCCTGCACCGTTCAAGAGCGCGATTCTTTCGTGCGCACATCGATATCATTTTTGACGAGAGCGAGAAATTTTCTCACGACCGCACACTTGAGCAATGTTCCGAATGATCGGCGAAACGGTGCTCGGTTGGCACGAATCGCGTCTGCTGGCAATGACTCCTCGTCACTTTGGTACGAGGGAACGGTAAGATGAATCGAGAGAAAGGGGAGTTCGCGCTTACAGTCGCCAGTAATGACTCAAAATTGAAACGGGAGACTTACAGTCAGCCCAACTGGCTGGTTACTTTATGAGTTTACTGCAACGTTTCGACCCCATTTTTTTTGGGGGGTCCTTATCAAGCAGTACTGCAAATCTCACGTGTACGCGTATATTTTATATTTCGACTCTGTCTTACGTGACGACGATGACTCACTTAGGTTCGTTCCTTAACTTCTATCCGTTTTACTCGTTAACTTACAATATCTTACAATTACGTTTGTTGTTGATTTGCAGTACTTGATAAGGACCCAAAAAATGGGGTCGAAACGTTGCAGTAAACTAATAAAGTAACTAGCCAGTTGGGTTGACTATAAATTTCCCGTTTCAATGAATCGAAGGGATATTACTCGAGGGAGGGGAGGGGAGGGGGAGAGTAACGTGATACCACGTACAAAGGTGTAATCGTAGATTATCACAAACCTTGCGTCTCTCTTCGAGATAAATGATCTCTCCTCAAAAATATGCTCTGTCTCATTTACGAAGCGATGCGAAAAACGATCCGTGCGCGATAAACAAACAGGCATGTTCCCTGGACAGAAACGGTCGTCTATTAGAAGTGAAGAGATCGCTCGTACATAGCGTCCGGCTCTTCGGAGATTATTCCTCGGTGATTACCGTCGCGTGTTCGCGCTGTAGAATTTACGCGTTTCGGCCGAGCCTGCGGTTATTCGGCGAAAACATTTGGAGCGTAGCCACTAAGAAATCGGTTACGTCTAAAGAATCGGTCCGGCGGGACTGAATCAGACTTTGAACTGAGAGTGTCGCACTGATTCGCTTTCACGAACCGCCCGTCTCAATTTGTTCCGCTGCCCTTGTAGAAATGTAAGCGAAATAATTACTCGAAAATTACTGTACATCCAGTAACTTCCAACAATTCAATTGCCGAGCTCTAGTAACTGTTCAGTGCTTTCTTTCGTTCCCAGCCGTTACATTTCTGTAAGGGCGACTGAACTCGATTATCGTCAGCTATCGCTCATTTCGCAATTACTCCTTGCGTAATTTGTTCTCCAACCGCATTCACCCTTCGATACAATGCCTATAGTCTGGAAACAAGCGCGAAGTATTCTTTATATAAGAGCGAAAAATTCGTGGCGATGTATTTTATCGAAAAAACTTGCGCGTACTGCGTACGGCGCGTGTATCTCTTAACGCGACGCAGTCGTCCCTCGATCCTCAAACAAACTAGAATAGGACGAGGACGGAGAAAGAGAAACGGAGGAAGCGGAGATAAATCGATGGGTAAAGCGCGAAGAGTCGAGCGGTAGCGAAAGAAATAACGCGTTGGACGCGTAATTGATGGAGAACGATGTGAATCGCGCGTATTTAGGGACGAAGATTACTTGGTGGAGCACTTAAAGCGCAGCGTGTGCCGCAAGTGTCATCCTCGATAAAATTCTTACGGTCTACGACGAAATTTTTTTTTTTCGGATGACAATCGACGCGCGTGCTTGCATCGTCCGAGTTTAATTGTCCGCAAATCGCTCTTGCTCGTCCAACGACTGGCAGAAAGAACGTAATTCGATGGGACTCGCGACACTGCCGAATTCCTGATTACTCACTACGAGTGTAGCAAATGGGATTATTAACGCTAAGAATTAATGAACACTTGGAATCGCGAATGGGGAACCTCCTCCCCCGACGGGACAGGGTCTCGCGACGGAGGGAGATTCAGAGAGAAATTTACGGCTCAGTGTGACCGGGGGACACAAGTGCGGCCGTTCCCCCCGGGGGATGACTTTCGCGACGCGCGATTTCTGTCAACGGTGACAGGTGGGACCACACGTCGCGTTTATCACCTACATATCTACGAAATGTCCACGAGCGTGACGTACGAGAGATACAAATCGGTGCGTGAAGTACGAGGAGGGGTACGTACACCCCGCGAGAGTGCGGATGTTCTCGCCGTGGCCGAGGGGGCGGCGAGTCTCCGGAGATGAGCTCCTTCGTAATTGGTAAATATTGTCGTGTCGACTCGTGGTCGTGTGTGCACTCGACCCGCACCGGGCCGCGACCAAAACGTAAAGCGGAGGACGCGAAAACGAGCCGCATCCGTGTCGGTCCCCGGCCATCCAAGTTGCGATTCGGTACCGGGCACCGAATGTCGGGGGGCAACGAGACGGTCCGTCGTGCGGCCTCACTGTATCTCGCAGAACGGCATCTTGTTGTTCACCTCCTTGGTCTGCTCCTGATCCTGACTGTTGCCGCCCTCGCTCTTCGGGCTGCCGGCTTCTTCCAGGGAACCCCCACCGCTGCCGTGGGGGCACATCGATTGTCATCTGAGCGCCAGGGTGGATATCATCGGCGGTCGGGACGGTTTGTTGTCAAGGATCCTCTCGATCTCGCTCATTATGTTCGCGTTCAACTTCGGGATGAGCTGGAAATCACGCGTTCTTTTTTACTACACTACCTACTTTTACGCCATTTGCGTTCGAGTCACTTCGTGTTCTCCACTCTCCAAAAATCAATCGGTGGATTATCACTGAAAACAGTGAGCAGCTACTGATTTGCGTTCATCGGTACACCGCTGAAAATCGCAGCGGTACACTTCGCTGATTGATTGTTAGAGAGTAAGCGCGCAGTTGTCCCGTTTATTTTACTAGAGTGCGAATTAGAAACTGACACCTCAGCAGGTACTACGGGGGATGATAAAAAGCGAGCGTGAGTCGAGCAACATTTTTGACTTGTAGCTTTTCTATTTTCAGCGAGGTGTAATTTATACCTTATTTTAAAATTAAACTCTTTACGCGGTTGAAGTCCGGAATATTCCCGGCAAAACGCTTTTACCTCTTTACTCGTAAGCCGGGATATTCCCGACACGAGCGTGCGGCGTTTATTTAAGCAGCTCAGCACGATGCAATTTATCTTAACGTACTTCACACCTACGTTTATGTGTTGTATACATAAGAAATAAACGTGATACGTCTGTCGGGCCTCAGGTCCTTTATCCGTAGCATAAGTGAGTTAGTTCTTTGGCGAACGCGCAACAGAAAACAAAGAGGCTGGTAGGAAACGTTTTGGCACGTTATTATCTCTTTATTATTATCACACGTTTTTGTTGTAATATTTTGCAAATTGTTACTGAAACGTCTGCGCGAAAACAAGAGTACGGTAAAATCAGGGCTAAATGTCAGTAGTGATAGTGATAAAAATATAATAAAAAATATTGTCTCTTGCAGTACAATAGTTCGTTTATAAGTAAAATTAATTTTACGATTTTTTACAACGATAATTAACTATGTGTCCTGTGGCGCAAACGAAAATAATTCCGACTAACGAGATACCCGTGCCAAAAAATATTACGACTGCAAAGAGCCAACTTTAATCAAAAGAGATTTAAAAAAAAAGATTAGTAGACGTAAATTTTATACGACGGTTTAAAACTTCGCCCCACATGTCAAAAACAACTTTGGAGTTGATGCGAGACAAAATGAAATTTATTTCAGGTAGAATAAAGGGTTTTAAAGTCTCGGATGCAGCCCTGATGGATTATTTCGTCGACAAAATGGAAGAAGTGGGCTACTGTTAAAGATAAAGTCTCAAATATTTTCAAATAGATCTGGGCAGCGATCACGTAACTTTTTAACTTTTCTTCTAGGGCGCAAAAGTGAAAAGTTTCACGTAAACTTAACGATTCTAGCGATCGTATAACTTTGGAAACCGTGAAATATGAAACTTTTCACGGTTTCGCTATACTCTATTCATGCTCAGATCTCACTATTTATATTTCCAGCTACGTGATCACTTTTCCATTTGCGGAAACGTTGACGCGGAATCAGACTGAGCGGAAAGTGAAAATTTTCACTTAGAATTGCACGATCGCTGCCCTGAAGAGGGGTTTCTCGAGAATTAAACAACAAAACTTTCTAGTCCTATCTTTCAAGCAATTATTAAAAATCCATAAAGGGAGGTTATATCGAAACAAAAGAATAAAAAATATTGGAAAATAAGAGACAAATTATCAGAAGTCTAAAGTGTTCGTGACTGCGTTTTGTCATCCTTCGTAAATGAATTTCATTTCAAACGGTAAGACGACTGTTCTTTTAGACTATGCCATTTAGAAAACAAACAAGACGAACGGAATCAGTAAACTCCATCGATAAACGAAATGGTCTATAAGTATTTGTACTTTCGATATTACGATATCTGTAGGAAAACTACAGCTACGATTCCATCAGTTAATCCTGCGCGATATCATCTAAAATATCGCGGGGCAAACAATTGTCTTCTTCACGAGAAATAAACAGATTGATTGTTACCTGTAAGCTTTGGAGACTCTCGTACAATTGATCTATATTGGATGCACCGAGCAGAAGGCACTGAACACTTTCATTCTTTAAAGACCACGCGATGGCCAGTTGCCCGAAAGAACATCCCAGTCTTTCGGCAAGAGCGCATACGTCCCGCAATTTGTCCGAGTACTTCCGAGTCTCCTCGTCTGCGGATTTGTCTTTCCACGCGTACTCCTGCGGTGTGAAAACAATTGTTAGCGCGCTCAGGAACAAGTACACGGTTTATGCGTCTTCGCGCATCGTTGCGAAACTTTTGGTAAAATTATCGTCCAACATAACAAAGAGACTTACGACCTTGCACTTTGTTCAGGAATAATAGTAGGTTAAGTACCATAATCAGCGGATTTAAATGTCAGAATGAATGCACAGGAAAGACATTTTGTTGGACCAAAGTAATTATTAGGACGCAAAACTAATTGCTTCAGAAAATGTCAAAGTTTTTTACAGTATCGTCATGCCATTACTTTGATGGTCCACCAAATTTATTTTTAGATCTGTATCTAGCTGAATTTTTAGATACCTCAACTCAGTTTCTTTCCGCGTATTAAATATGTCTATGCGTGGACGCATTGTGTTTCTACAAATATATTATTTGCGTACCTCTTTGTATAAAGATTGAGTTTCATCCTCCGTCCAGCTGAATGAGGAGTATTTGTTCTAAAATCATAAAGATTGTTTTCTGTTTCGATACCATTTTCAAATCTTTTTGTTTCGATTTATATTTAAAAAAAATGGATTGCCACATTTTCGCGATAGTCTTACGTGGTTTTTTAATGTATCAAAATGACATAATTTTATTTATCTCGGTAATACGGTAATAAAACAATAACATTAGATGTACAGGATGTACTAAAACCCCCGGATATCCTTTTAATTATAATAGTTTTTAAATAATAAGCGATTACATTTCACAAATGACAGGCCTGAGTTTTCGCGCGCTCAGGTACGGCGACACGACAATGTGATAAAGGTGTTCCTACGAATATCACCCTTTTTAGCACAGTGACAACTTTCACAACAGACTTAACGATTCATTCTCGAATTAATTGTTCCTCTTGTTATCTTTAATCATTTCTTTTGTTAACTTTGTGTAACGTCTTATTAATAAAAGGGAGGGGTTCACTATGATGAGCATCTTGATCAGACTGATATCCTTCGATTTAGTCGATCTCCGATATTCTGAGTGAACTTTGAATTTTCAGTTAGATTCAATCTAGTCTCCTGCCTCTCTTTATCCTCCAGTTTTCAAAATAACCGGATCATCGTCTTCCCAAATATTTTCTGTCCCGTTAAACGGCGACTTTGGCTCTCGCTCGCTCGCGAAACACATAGGAACACTTTTATCACTCGTCATGTCGCCGTGCCTGAGCGCGCGAAATCTCAGACCTGTCATTTGTGAAATATAATCGCTTATTATTTAAAAACTATCACAGCCTCGACATTTCTTTATTAGAATTTTCCTCTTGAAATTTTCCAAGGAATCTGCGATTAAAAGGATATCCGGTGGCTTTAGTACACCCTGTATAGTGATTCGCGTAACTGTTACAGGGGTGGGCCCGCGAGCGCCCGCTCCCCGCTCCAATCATCGCCCCACCACGTCTACAATCATGTTCGGCTGCATCGCTTTCAAGCGCAACGTTCTTTCTGTTAAGTGTAGAGGAAAGTCCCATATTATGAGATAGGCTACTAATATGAGATAGCGGAGCTAAATTAACAGGCATCGTCTGTTGGTCGCGCCATGAATTTATTGCCCTTGCAGTGAAATCTGTTTAGTGGAAAATTGATCGTTGGATCGTGCAATCGTTGCGAAAAAAGATTTGCGATTGAACTTGGACGTTGAATACCTACTATCTCATATTAGAATCCTATCTCGTAATAGAGGACCTTCCTCTAACTAAATACATATTTTAAATGCTTACTTTATAAGACGATCGCGAGAGGAACGATACTCCGCAATCTTCCGGCTTCGAAGAAACCATCCCTATGGTGACAGTAGACCACGCCATTAAACCAACGCCTATAAAAAAAGAATTTGTCGGTCAGAAGCATCGTTAAAATTTCTTTATAATTTCATGATATAATTTCATGATATCGTATGCTATTAACACGTTGATTGCCACAATTATACAATTAGGAAACTTGATCCCCCGACGCCACTTTTATACGTCGGCGCGTTATTTTAATATAACGCTAATTATTGCAAATTTGTCTTCATTAAAAATCCAGAATAAAATCGAACGAACAGCCGGCATTCATTTATACTAAACTATCTCCGTCTACGAGCTAACTCGGCAGTCAATGTGCTAAAGATAAACGAGAGAGTGGACTAATTTACCAATTTTGTTATACAACTCTGGCATATAGAGTTCGGGTTTCTCTCTATAAAACAGGTGATACTCCGCCTGCTCGACGATCGGCGTCACGCAATTAAATTGCCGACAATTCGTATAGGCTTCCATAATCTCCACGGGTGACCATCGCGACGTACCCCAGTACATCACCCAGCCTTTGCTTATAACATAATTCATCGCCCGAACGATTTCTGAAATGCAAGATCGCGCGATTACGTGAGATACAAAGAGCGCAAACGAGATTTTTCTTATCGTGACAAAATTGTCACAGGCTACATGATAAATGATCGATGCGATAAATCTCTATTTTACGGTGAGATAACATCTACTAAGAAAAAAAAAAAGAGAAAGAGAGAGAGCGGAAGTGTGTTTCAAAGCGTGTGTGAGGATAAAGGTAAAATAGCTAGATAGTTCTCTTGCATACATTTTTCGCATAATATAAAGCATACATTAAACGTGATACGTAAACACAAAACGATTATTTACAACGAGAAAATAGAAAAATATATATATACACATACATGTATATATTATATGTATACATATAGCATGTAGAATACATATGCTTTTGCAACAGTGACCTTCCATTTTTGCTATAAAAGTATCGAATGTAGAAAGAAGCACACGGTAACTATTACGGCACAATGCAACTGCCAAACATCAAATCGTCGCCATACTGGAGAGTCTTTAACTGTAACTTCGTTATTGTTATAGTTTCTGCGAGTTCTGTTCACTAAGAAGATCTTTTCGTCCTTTATGAAATTGTATCGCGTTACGCAACGTCCGCAGCTGAAGGACAGGCGGCGTCGTCGAGATTCGCATCGACGCCGGCGAGAAAGGTGTCGGTACTCTTCATGTAAATTGCAACTTTTCTCACTCCGCGGCAAACTGCGTAACGCCACACGATGGATTCGCGCCTCTCGAATATGGAATAGCAATGGCATATCTTAAAATATCAATCCATCGCACGTAATAAGTTAACGAATCTCTTTTAATAGCTTGAAGAGGTTTATATTTAACCCGCGCGGCGCGACCTTAGCGAGTAATTTTACCTTTATCCAAAGGAAGCGAAAATTTGCCGCGAAATGGATGTTCTTATGGGGGAGCTACTTTCGAATCGATTGTTATCGCACTGATGAAAAATGAGGTGTTTCAAGCTCTTAATATTTAAATTAATGGAAAGTCTAATGGAAATTATCGACTGTTTCGTAATAGCGCAATCGATCATAAAATTTTCAACTGAAAATCAAATGGAGATCAGTTTTCTGGTGGGAATTGAAATGAATATTAAAAGCATAACGGAACGTATCTAACAGGGGACCAAAAAGCAACACTCTGGCAACGCGATGATGTTTCTTCTCTTTTTTATTTTATTTCTAATTGTAACGTTAACTTCTCAATAAGGGAAGTTCTCTCCTCATTAAATAATCATCTCTCTTCGCCTCCCTGTAGCAAAAACAGTAAAGGTGTATTTCTCTTTTTCTACTCATGCTAAATTGTGCGTTATCGTGACGGGCATCTTCATGTAAAAGTTATATATTGCCGGAATTACAATATAATCACAGTATCGTAGCACGCTTTGTGCAAGTGAAGTGCCGTAAGTGTTTGATGGAATGGAGACGAGGAAGAGAGAGAAAGAGAGAGAGAGAGAGAGAGAGAGAAAGATAAAGAGAGAGAGAGAGAAAAAGAGAAAGAGAGAGGATTCGAATCTTTGAATTATTACTCGTAAGAGAAAGAGGAATTGGAAAGTTACCTTCCATCGGACACATTGGATCGACTTTGTGGATCATGACAATGTCGATGTACGACAGTTGCAGCCTGACGAGCGAAGCTTGCACGGACTCGATAATGTGTTTCCGCGATAGCCCGCGACCCTCGGTCCTATTCAAGAATAGGCAGATGTTAACAATCTCATTAGACGCTGCAAACGGAGTTAAATAGCAGTAGGGGTGCATGAGAGGCGGACGAGACGCGCGCGGCGGCACGTCTTATGGCGTTTCCTCGCTGCCCCATCGTTACGACGAACGTTATCGAGCACGGGCCGAAACAACAAACGGCGAACAACGACGGCCAACGGTGCCGCCTGATGCACTAGTTATCGATCCACGCGTCAAGGCGAAGCCTCATATTCGCGCCGTCCACTTGATATTAAACGAGGCCGTCTCTCGTACCGAGATTCACTTCTGCATCGTGTGTTCTCCCTATCGAGTTCTACAATCCTAAAAATAAATGCGGCGCAAACTTACGGGACGGCCTGGGGAGGCAGAGCCGTTTGACCGACTAATTATCGATGACACACCGTTCCGCAATTCCGCGCGTGAAAGGTGTTTTTGAGGAAAGGTACTGTCGTTCTCTGTATATATATATATATCGACACCAGGCATGCGGTGTACATACATGATTGGCAAACACGATACGTGATAAGGTATCAATAACCTTCGAGTTATTAGTGACTGGCAGGTTTCTTTCTCGACGCAGAAGGAATTCAACTCTGCTTCGAGCCCGAGGCGCGGGGATTGGTTTTAAGATATAGTTTCCCTCACTTCATAATGATTGTGAAATCATAACGGGAAAAAAAAGAGAGAGAGAGAGAAATTTCACAAAAGAAAACCTTGTCGAGTTCTTTTCAGTTTCTGTCTACTTTTACGGTTTGGTACAAGCATTACGCACAGTGTCTAAGCATCTCATGCTTAGTGTACACAGAATACGCTATTATAAGCTCGGAGATGACTGGTCGGGTCGACGTCGATTTTCGATGGACGGCCGACGTCGAGTACAGATTGACATCGCTGCCGTCTTCGACCTCGCCGCAATTGTTTTTACGTCAATTGAGCAACTGCGAATACTTGTACGAGGCTTCCCGTAGTCCTCTATCAAAGGGTATGTTCTTTACAGCTGAGTTACAGGAGTTTATCTTTCCCCCTGTAGTGTAGAGGGAGGAAGATAAACTCTGAACTAGCGCAGCCAGTTCAGCTATGAAGAACAGACACGAAGGCACATTATACATTGGGCATTCGATGAAGAGAGAATTGGCCGGGAGGCAACCCGGTGAGAGATGACTCGTCGATTCGACATCGTTTCGACATAAATCGACGAGCCACTTCTCGCCGGGAATAGAAATCTTATGGAAATATTCGCAGTTGCTTAATTAACGCAACGAGAAACGCTCGCGGCAAAGTCGAAGGTGACAAAGACACCAGGCGGCGTTCGACGGCGAGCGTTGATCGAATCGATCGACGATTCGGCCAATCATCCCCGGCTGGCAAGGGCACGCGAAGGACAAAGTTCGCAGGCCGATGGGCGAGTAAGTTCGATTACACTGAAGCCATCGATCGAGAAGCACACACGTCTAAAGAAAGAAAGAAAAGGTAAGAAAGAAAGAAAGAAAGGAGAATAAAGTATATAGAAGAAAAGGAAAGGAAACAGACCGCGCTTTCGCGTGCAGTAGCGTTACAACATCGAGAGCCACCACCGAGAGCACGTCGAGAGCCAACTACCCAGCTCCACTATCATCAATGCTCGCTAAACACCACCATCAATGACGACGACGACGAACGATGACGGTGACGGCGCGGCCACCATCAACGACACCGAGAACACGCGCGGCAACACACTTTGGACACGGGCGCTCTACTCACTTGGTGTTCCAATAAATTTTCGTCGTCACGACGTAACTGGAACGGTTCCAGGCGCGCCTCAGCAGGATGCGGCCGAACTGGATCTCGGCGCGGTGGCCGCTATGCGCCTCGCTCAGGTCGAACACATTAATCCCGCTATCGTAGGCGAGGGCCACCACGGCCTCCGCGGTCTCCTCGCTGACGCAGCCGCCCACGCCGAAGGTGGTCCACGTTCCTGCGCCCATAAAAGCAAATCAAGCGACATCGGCGACCCGCCGTTCTGCGCGACGACTTTCCGAACGCCGGTCCGGGTTGCGCGATCTTAGAGCGCCTCACCGTCTCGGCTCGTCTATCTCAAACTAGGACGTTATCCCGTCGGGAGATAAGACGCGGCCGTGCAAAGTCAGCGCGAAGGGACTCGGCTTGGCCTTTCGCCCGCGAGAAGTGTACCGCGCTTTTTTTTTTATCACGTCGAGAGATAAGAATAATGACAATGGTGGTCAATCAATAATGATCACAGCGACGACCCGCTAAATTGCCGTTGTCAATTATGAATTGAGCTTAAACCACGGGGTTTCGTGTTGCCAGCTCAGCCGTGTGACTCGTCTAACTCGTTTCTTTGAAGTCTGTTAAGACTAATTCCACGCTATCTATTAGCAAATTGCCTCAGGTTCACGCTTCGAGGATACTCGGCCGGTCGGATGCAAGAACATCACGAGGGAAGACGCTTCGTATTAAGAAAATACGAGATGAAATTGCATATTAAAAGACCTTACTGATTACAATGATATTACCATACCTCAGTGAGAACACGAACGTCGAATTGACGTCAATGCACCCACAGAAAAAATTTTCCGGATTCGATGCTATTGCACTTCAATGTATCATAAAATAGGATCGATTTAGCGCCAATCATATTTATTATGGGGAAAGGAATATTTTTAATCTTGAATGAAAAATTCTAAAATCTAGAATGAAATGATAGCACGTAGGTATCGTCTTTTGTCGAATCTCGTGGTGTCAAGGTGGAGGGAAAATTTATTCTAAACGCAAGAATATATAAATAGAATATATTACATTTTTACAAGTTACTCTTGTCTCAATATAGTGAGATCGATCTTTTTTAATTCGATAGAGGAGAATAAGAATTATTGATTTCATTTTGATACTGTTGTATTTTTATATACCAAATGAGGTTGCGAGAAATATAAATGCGTCAAGAACATTTTTTGTCTCGGTGACAGAAATCCTTTCTGAGGGCGCGGGGTCGAAACCGCGTCCCAACCCGTCGGTTTTTCGAAAATAATTAAGTTCCGGAACTTCATCTCTCGTATTAAATTACTACGTTCAACGTTCTGAATACTTTTAACATCTTATTGGAGCGAACTGCCAAGTTAACTTGGTTTAATACAAAATTTAGTACAAAAAATGAAGTTGCCGAACTTTTAATTATTTTCGAAAACTGACGGTCGGGACGCGGTTCCGACCCCATTGACGTCGACTCGACGTTGATTGTTATGGCTCGAACCGATATTCAAGAAATTTGAGCTGTCGCTCGTTAGCTATTAAACAGTTATTAGCATTCAAATGTAATCACTCTTCCCGATGCTTTGAACGCGCGTCCCAGTGAGCACCAGCTAACGGTTACGTAACATCAATATTATAATTTCTCACTCGACAATGTAACTGTTATATACAACGTAACGTGCGTTATATTACATTTATATCGTTGAATGAGAAATTATAATATTGATGTTACGTAACTGTTGGTTGGTATTTATCGGAGAGACATATTTCCGCCTGGATTTTCGCCTTTATATTGCAAAATAAGAGAGAGGCAATACATAAAATTATTTATTATAACAATTATTTGCTTCGTTGACTTTGCACCCACAGAAAAAATTTCCGGGTCCAATGCTATTACACTTGAACGTATCATAAAATGGGATCGATATAGCAATCATATTTGTTATAGAGAAAGGAACATTTTAGTCTTAAATGAAAAATTCTAAAGTCTAGAATCGTCTTTTGTCGAATATCGTGGTGCCAACTTATTGTACTGCCAACCCGAAGTTATAATCTAATCCAAATCTCTAAATTTTTATCTCAAAATTAGAAATAAACTCCGAGTTTCAGTGAGAAATTTTCCGGTGTGCGGGTGCCCGAGGGGGGGAGGAATGGAATCCAACCGTTCACTTAAATATGTATGCGTGAATAAATGGAATTTATTCCGGTTCATTTTATTTGTTAACAATTTTTCAATAAATAACGGGCAACGATCAAATCTTTTGTAAGTTGGCAGAAAATACATAGGTACATCAAGGTCATTGAAATCAATGAGGTCGCCGCTAATATGCATGTGGCTTTACTGAGAAACGATAAGCGAGACGATCGTGGAAAAATTTATGGAACTAGAACAACTAGTTTCGCAAAGTAGCGTCAAGTGCGAAAAACAAGCTCCGTTTTGCTCTTAATTCATATACATTTGTGGAACGCGCAAAAGAGCGCAAACCGTGCGTTTTTTTCCACTAATTTTTTCCACGAGGATGAGCGAAATATCCCTTCAAAGCTTGTTGATTCAGACTTGCTTTTATAACATCACGTTGAACTACTGCATCATAAAATTTAGTTTTATAAAATTAATTAGACACTAACATCCCGTCTTGGCTCTTACTCCTTTGTTACTTCGTAATTGTGTTTCCACATTGGAGCCTTATGAATTTTATTAAAGGAAAGTCCCTATTATGAGACAAGTCCCTAATAGCAGGGTTTCTGTTTTAACAAGCACCATCTATCAGTTCGACCACGATTTATTGCTCTTGAAGTGAAATCTGTTTAGCGGAAAATTCATCGTTAGATCGTGCAATCGTCGCGAAAGGAGATTTGTGATTGAATTTGGACGTTGAAAACCTGCTGTCTCCTAATAGGGGACGTTCTTCTACTCGATAAATTTTTTTTTGCAAAAGAAAGCAAGTCGCGCAGTTTCGCACGTAGAAAGATACACGACATTTCTCTAGAAGTTACGGAAGAGGACGCTCTTGTAAGAAGTCAGTAGGACGCGACGGAGGAAAAATGGACAACTCGAAGCGATGCTACTCTCGAATCGCGTATGCAACACGATACGTGTATACTTGCGTAGGCAGGCCACGTGAGTTGCGTGCACCAGTCGAGCTATCGAGCACAAGGGATCGGCTATAGGTCACGGTGCCTCGTACATATTGTATCCGCATCCGCAACGAAACCGTGTGAAACGGCGGGAGGGCAGACGCCGCGCGGTAAATAATGAACAACGCGGGGAGCGTAAAATCCGTACGCGCCGGCGAGATGGATCGGTCGGGCCGCCGCGAGTGATAAAGATTCCGAGATAGCCGGTGGCGAACGCGAGCTTCCGGGATCGATTCGCGCCGCGGGGAGACATCCGCGCCCCGCGAGAAACGAGGGGGAGGTACCCGAGGGACAATACATCGCCTTCGACGGGAGGGAGGGCATCGAGCGGAGGATCTCTCGCGGGGGGGGGCCTGGACTCTCTTTTTTTTTTCTTTTCACGGGGGGAGGGGGGAGATATAAGTGGGAGATACACATTCAGCGTACCTAATCCAACATTGGAAACACGTAGACCGCTTTTGCCCAAGTTGCGGTAGCGAATACCTGGCGAGGGGTGCTGCAAACGTTGCGCTTGTGCGGCAATGCAGCTAGTTAGTAGCTGCTCTTTCGTCCCGGTCGTGTTGCTGCAGTGCACGCCCGAGTCTACGCCGCCGCCGCCAACGCCGCCGCCTCCGCCGCCGTTGAACTCTTCCATGCAATCCAAACTTGCTATGGGTGCACGGCAGCTGCGCATACAAGGTGCAAGAGTTATCGCGTATCGATGTCGATACACGTCCCGCCGTTAACTATCGGTCGATTTCGGGGGGGGGCGATCTCGGATGCCCGGTCGGACACCCTCGCGACCGAGGCTGCGATTGTTATTTGTCGCCGCTTCCCTTGGACCTTTCTTTTCAGGAGTTCTGTTCCTTCAATCCCCCCCCCCTCCCTCCCCCAGCCGGCGAAATGTAATTTTCAATGTCTCGATAATCTAATGTCGAGCGAGATATTGAATTATAGACAGATAAGATTTAAACGAAGTCGAATTGAGAAGCTGATTGAACGGCGAGGTCCCGCAGTTTGTATCGGGAGGCATCTCGCTGGAACTCTTTGCAATTTTCCAGCTTAAATAATGACTTAAACAACTTCTGGAATTAAGTGAAACGATAATGAGTTCGTCTGTACAAAATTCTTGCAAGTGGAATTCGGGCCGACACGAGCAGCTGACTAGAGACCGGTTAAGCAAGTTCATTTGTTCAATAATTCTGTGCATTATTGTTGATATTGTTAAGACACTTCGGCATACGTATTTTAGTTTGTTCTTCCGTTTCAACGATTGGTATACGGAGAGAATTTTCTCTTACAGTTTACCCTGACAACGTGGCATTTTGAAGAAATACATGAGAGTTTTTTGAAATCCTGTTATACATTCTACTGGTGAAATGTATACGAAGTACAATTATTAGTAGAATGCGTGGTAAAATTGCAAGAAACTCACATAAAATTCTTTGAAATGCCACGTTCTTCCACGATCACATGATTTTCAGGATAAACTTTAAGAAAAAAATTCTCCCTCCGTGTATTGTCAACTGAAGGAGAAATGAAAAGTCAATACGACATCAATTTGATGTCATACTGACCAAAATGTGACATAAACTTGGTCAATATGACGTGAAATTGAAGTCATCTTGATTTTTTATTTCTCCTTGGGAACATCTCTACCTCGTCTCACAATTGCATCTCACGTGCTTGTTGTAATTCGGTTTTCAAAAATTGTCGATCACATCGGTCATTTCTGACTGACTTTAGGTGAGAGCACAGCTTGCAACAATTTTTTACTTCAGTCCTTTGTCTGAATAAATGTTAGAACCGAGGGGTAAACCGCTGACCAAAATCAAGAACCCCAACGCCTACCAACGCCCGGTGGACATTACTTTATCTTATCTTGTTTTATCTTATTTTAACTTTATAATGTTCCAGCAAAGCCTAACCCTTAGTAAATGTTCTTTAAATGAAATTGAGGTTTTTAAAACTAATCTTTTTCAAATCTAAGAGTTCACTTAAAGAAGTGAAAAGTTTACTTAAAAAATTGTAGAGTAATTGTGGACACTCAAAGTAAGTTTTAGATAGCCAAGCCTGTCGAAGTTCCCGCCAGAGGACCGCGCGGCAAAGCACTTTCTCGTGAGAAGAAAACCGCACGCGGTATTACAAATTATATCACATACTTTTCGCAATTCTTAAAGTTTTCATTTAAATTCCTAAAGTAAGTTTTAAGTTTAGCTTAAACAAAAGTTTTAAGTGTCCGAATTTACTCTTCGTACTTCTTATTTTTCTAAAGTAAAATTTTAAGGTTTCCCAAGGTATATTTGCCCAAGCTAATGCACAAACAGTGCCTAGTAATGCCCGGTAATGCCGTAAATCTGTAAGCCGCAATGCTCTCGGCGGTTCACCCCTCGATTAGAACTCATTTGCTCCGCGGATCCAACGAAATCGAGGTCGCCGAAAAGTAGAGAAGACAAAGCTCGTCACGAGCGAGGTTCTTCCCTTACGGAAGAAACACTCAAGTTTCGAGTATTAACACTCGATTGTCCGAATTTACTCTCAAATTTGGGCGTAAACTTAAATATTTACACCCAAATTTGAGAGTAAATTCGGACAATCGAGTATCAACACTCAAAACTTGGGTGTTTTTTCCACAAGGCTTCTATGCACTTTACGTTTGAAATCATTATTTTACTTTCTCTAGTCAAGTGCGAAAAGCGCAAGCGTTACTGCCGACGCGTTGTAATTCAGTACCGGGAAATATAAATTCGTGCAACGAGATTACAAAGATCGAATGATTGCCGAGATCAAGAGACGCGGCGGCGTCCCGTGCCAAATAATGTTTCTCCTAGAGCCAAGTGTACATGTATACATTTTTTAAATATTACACGGTCGCAGACACGGATCGTCCGACCGTTCGACCTTCTCGGCTGTGTACACATCAGCTCGGCCAAAATTCAAACACGAATAATTCGAGAAATGTGTAGACATCAATCGTGGGCGTCTCTGTCTACTGGCATCGTTCGTGTCCCCGTCCCTCGCATAAAGCACGGTTACACCCAAGGTTACACCAGTAATCCGGATTAAGCAAGTCGGGTTCGGCAATTTGCTCCCTCATCTCCCCCTCCCCCTCTCTCTCTCAACCCTTCCTCAGATTACGGTTTTATACACGACATAAACTCGGAGAAGAAAAACTTATCGCGGCCAAAGTTAGCTACAAGTGACGTTGGTGCAACCGAGTCTAAGTAAGCCAACACACCCCAGTGCCCTCGCAGCTCGCTCGAGTCGAGGGGGTGCGGTGGCAGCCGGGGCGTCATTAGATACCCGGCGATCGTCGTCGCCGGTGGCAGCGTCCACGACGCGACGTCGAGCTACTCGTGTTTGAATTTCGCCCCGCGCACAGGCTCGCGCGATCGGTCGATCGTTCCGGCGCAGCGGGCCTGGAGTGCCTTCCCGGCGACATCCGGGAGCGTCGGAGAAGCGTAGTGCCAGCCCCGCTGGCGCGCTACGTCCGTGCCCCTTTAAAAGCTAAAACTACCACCGCGAGTCCGCCACCGCGATGTGGGTCACCGGTGCGCAAGGGACGAAGGGGCGCGAGGGACGGGAGGAGAGGATCGGGGAGTATCGCCTTTCGCTCGAGTGCCCCGGTGTATCGCGTACACCGATCGCACTTTGCCCCCCCGCCCCCCTCCCTCCTACCCCTCCTGTGACAGTAACCTGGACGCGATTACTTTGTGAATTAGCCGTGTTTAATAATTAAAGGCCCGCCGAAATACCCTCGGTGGTCTCTCGCTTGCTTGGCGAGCGTCGGCGAGACGACGCTCGATCGATATAACGGCGTTAGGCGAGAACGGAACGAACGGGGAAACAAAAGGAAACAACGGGGTGGGAAAAACCGAGAGTTGTCCGGACGAGACGAAGGTCGACGGGTAGGTCGGTTCTCGCGGCGTTCGCGGTTGGGAGACGCGGGTGGAAAAATGACGGGCGTGCGTTTCAATACCACCCCAGGGATCTGTGTCCGATTAATCGCACGTGGATCGGCCGAGTGTAACGAATTCCGATCGATCCCCTTTCGAGTCTCGATCGAGACCCGATATTCTCAAGCCGGAACGCCGCCTCGTCGGAAATGAAAGCCCCCGCCACGGGTCCGTCGGACTCGGAGAAACGGTCGAAATCACTCGTTTCTCGCGTGTGCCGCGAGATTAACCGGGCGGGATATCTTCGGGCAGGGCAACTTTAATCGCGCACGATATTTCGCAAAGGTATCCCCACATCGCCGTGACACCGTTCGAGCCTGTTTTTTCTCTCTCTCTCTCTCTCTCTCTCTCTCTCGTTTTAGTCTAATCTACAATGTGTTTTTGCGATTAGAAACGTTCTATTTTATGCAAGCGAATCAAGACGCTTAAAAAGGTTTACCGATCGCGAACGATTGTAAGTACAATGTACAATTTGTCACCTTGCAAATATTTCTTACACGTATTTCTTGGCTACAAAATGGAATGTTTCCAGAAGCAAAGAGCACACTGCAGATCAGATTTAAAGTGTGATTTGCAATATGCTCTTTGCGTCTAGAAACACTCTATTTTATACAAGTAGCTCAAAGCGTTT